ACACTATAGATAAAATAAACGCTCGGGATATATTGCCATGAAAAAGATATAACCTGCGAGGAAGCTAGTTGCCTAATGGAAATGTGAAATCGCATATGTGATTCAGTGCCCCTCATAGCCCCTCAGAATACCCGAGGCTAAAATAAGCGTGTACAGCACATTCAACATGCCTGAACTTGTACTGGCAGATGCCTTTATCCTCCATAACAAATCATAATCGACTGATGATCCATTCGTCGGTGTAGACTACCGCGAATTATGCCGTGCCCCAAAGTCTTAGGCACCCATTTGGAATTCAGTTCACCCGAGCTACGAGAACCACTTTCAATATTTTGTTAAACGCCATCTTTTTCATCTGTACCATTCCTCTTCTCACTCCCAAACCCTAGGAGATGTATCTCGTTTGCGCCACCCATGGGATCTCACTCAGCGTTCAACTAATGACTACAACCACTCAGGGGCTATCGGATGTTTGAGACCAAGATCCACCTGTCACTTAGCCGCAATTAATCTCTGCACACTATCAGATCGGTCAACAAGCTTCCCCAGCTTGAACTATTAAAACTTTCAATTTAAATGTATACTGTGTCTCCGAAACACACATACAAGACCCTACTTCAACCATCAACTTGATATCTCCAGATCCAGCTTCATTCCCACGCTTCACTCTCTGTGTCACGCTATTCGGCATCCGAAGCATGCCGTGTTGCTGGTGTCAGGATTGTGCTGAGTTTCAAGGTTGAGTTTCTACCTCTCAACTGGATCCCGGTTAGAAGCCGACTTTGCGCTGTACGTCTGTATGGTTCTGTACGGATCAACAGTTACAGAACGAAACGTAGATGCTTATTCGTCATTTCCGTGGATGCACCGACTGGTTGCAGTTTGCAGAAATGAAGGATTAATTCTACAAGAACATCTCTCAATCGCTCCATAGTCAACGGAAATCGTGGTAATCACTGGAGACTTCAATGCTCAAGTGGGATCCCTGGACAAATAAGAAAGGCTACTTGGTGGTTCAAGTGCAATCCCAGCCAACAGGACTGACAACGGGGAACGCCTAATCCAAATTTTCGCTGACCATGGACTGTCTCTTTCAGACACCAACTTCTCGCACAAGAAAGGACACCGCCTTACACAAAGGCCGTCAACCTCTTCACAGCGCTGGACTCAAATCAACCACATCGCTATCAGCCATCAATGACGAGGATCCATTGAAAACTGCCGCTCTTTCTGGTCAACACCCGTAGAGACGGACCATGCTCTGTTACGAGTGAGATTCTCCCTACGCCTAATGAACAGCCGCCGAAAAGCCTCCGAAAGCAGATGCCCACAATACAGCTTCAGCAATGGTTGGAAATTGGCCTTTGAAGCGGAACTATCTGATCGCCTCTCAGCTCAACCATCTTCCGGACAACTCAATGAACACTGAACGGCAATCAAGGAAGCGATCGAAATGTCATTGAAAACAACGACGGATTCCGGCTCAAGATCAAATAAAAAAATCGATGGATCTCCACAATTTCGGTTGCCGTGTTGGACGCTCGGAAAGCCATTCTTTCGTATTCAAGATATGACTAAATGCCCAAATCCCTTAAACGCCAGCTCATCAAGAGTCTGAAGAATGACCGCAAGAAGTGGTGTGTAGAGAAGTGTAGAGAGATGGAGAAGGTTGTGGTTATCGTAATAGTCGCAATTTTTTGGCGTTTAAGTAGGAGTCCAGGTCCAAGGAAAATATGTGTAAGTGAGGTAATTAAAGAGTCTGATAGCACACTGATTCACATTCAGTCGTCTTGAACGTTGGGCAGAACATTTTAAGGCACAGTTCAGCTGACCTCCGTCGACACAACAACTACTTATACCCGCTTCAACCGGGTAAATACTGCCAGTTGACATCAGTCCTCAATGTGAAATAGAGGTTACCCGAGAAGTAAATTATCTCAAAAGGTCTAAGGCTTCCGGCCAGGACAGACTGTCCCCATCAGTTTTTAAGGATGAAGGTTCAGCCTTGGTTTTGGAGTTAACGAAACTCTTGGCTTTAGTGTTGGAGGGAGAAGAGATTCCAACCGAATGGTGTGAATCGGTGATCATACCGATTTATAAAAAGGAGGACAGATCCTCTTGTGAAAACCACAGAAGAATTAGTGTCATCAAAATCATCTCTACAATACTTTCTGGTATTATACTCCGTCGGCTGTTTCTATATTCTTCTGATTTCAACTCAGTCGACCACTCTGGCGCTACCTCCCTCTAAATGGTGTGCCTGAGAAACTTATTTCAATCTTACAATCCATTTATACCAATAGCCGAAGCCGAGTCCGAGCTTACGGTACTTTTTCACCCGAGTTCACTGCAGAAAGTGGTGTTCGCCAGGGTTGCTCTCTCTCCATTTCTATTTAACTTTGTCATAGATTTCATTCTTGAAATAACCTTATCCTCGTGCGAGGATAGTGGTATCCATCTGCTCCCGGGTGGAAAATTGTCTGATTTAGAGTATGCAGATGACATTGTGCTACTGAGTGAAAATTGCAAGCTTTTCTGGATAGCTTAAGTGCTATTGTAGCCATGTTCGGTATGCGTTTTGTACCTTCAAAGTGTAAAATGTTACTACAAGACTGGATTGATCTAGCCCCCAACCTCGCCCTGACTGGGGAAGTAGTACAGAAAGTAGACAAGGTTTGCTAACTGGGCAGCTAGATCTCACCTGGCGGATGCATCACAGATACAAGAGGCCCGATTGGTATTTGCTAAATTAGGACATCTGTGACGCCGTCGCGACATCCCCCTGTCTGTGAAGGGTCCAGTATATGCTGCAGCATTCCGGCCAGTTCTGGTATACGATGCAGAGACTTGACTTACGCGAACAGGATAAAATCGATTGTCGGTGTTCGAACACCGCTGTCTATGTCGCATTGCACAAGTCCGGACCAACAATGCTGAGGCTGGGTTGGGAGTTTTAGGTAATTGTGGTCGTCCACTAGAGCAAGTAATTGACCTCCATAGATTACACTGGTTGGGACATGTGTTACGCATATCACCAAATAGGTTACCACAGCGGGCGATATTTGCCGGGACAGGTAGCGGTTGGAAAAACGTCAAGGGTGGTCAAACTAAGACGTGGCATGAGGGTATGGAAACCCCAACCAGGAGACTAGGTCACATGGCCCCGTTAGGCCCCCTGGCTGGGGACCCCGAGATCAAGGTCACCGATGGTTAGTGACACTGCGATATGGCTGGGTGTCTTCAACAGTGGCGCTCATTCATCTACTTATTATTCTTGCAACCTCAGTCTATATGAATCCTCCTCTATCTTCCCCTTGAATCTACTCTCAACATTCTAATCCTCATTCTGCTCTCTTATGGGCGATCAAAAGACAGCAACCAAAAGCGGCGCACGGTAGTGCATGGTAAATGGTTGTAAAACCTGAAACTGAAACTAAGTTCTATGAGTTCATCCAATCATATATTCCTTTTTCAAGTGTCCTATATACTTGGAGGCTAAACACAGGTCTGCTCCAGTCATCATAACCTAGCAAAACTGAGCATTTGGTTTACTTTTAGGTTGTGATAAACCATGAATTTGTGATTCATCTTGGTACAAACACGCATACAAATAATTTCAAGCTGACGCAATAGACGCATATAATGTACGCCACGACTATTTATCTTAGGTATAAAATACAATTGATTGAATTGCTTAGTCATATAACCAGATCTACGCACTACAGTGGACATAGTGGTGACATTCAGGATTGTTCAAGTGGATTAATGTCGATAAACGCTCCGTTTTCGAGGTGATAATTCCCCGAACCGGATCCTCTGAGCAAAGTGACAGGTGACCAGGAAAACAAACTGATTTACTCTCGTCATTCATTTGCCTTTTGGATAGAGATTTGAATGTGAATTAGTTTGAGCATATCATGGTGCAAAACGTATATCAAACTTAGCAACTCCGGGAAACTCAAGCAAGAAAGTGCAAATTATTAAACGATGAACGCACACGAGTTATAGTTACGATTGCGTTCGAGACTCAACAGAAATGAGAGCTGATGTTAATTCGACGAAAGCAGAAATACTGGGTCTTTGTGGGAAAATTTCATTCCAAAGGACCTGATGTAGCATGAATATATGGGTTATTCAGAGCGAAAGACAGGGTGGAGAGATAAAGTAGATATTTATGTCAGAATTGACAACAGGAGTCGTTTTTAGCTTGAAATTAACATGTTCTATTAAAAATTAGATTAGGCTTATCTTAGAAAATAAAACAAGCAGAAGTGTTCATAAACTGAATTTTATTATTTATTGGTCTTTCGCTACAGCACAAGCACTACCATGCGCTGCCACGTAAGCCTATCACGACCCCTGTTCCTGTACTGGTTCAACACACACACTCCGTGCTCACATGTGAATTTTCTTGTTAACCGGTTCTTTGTTTACTGTTGATCAATGTTGTTTTTTTGTTACAGTTGTTATTATTTCCATCGTGAACAAATTGTTTCTCATCGTCCCGGGTCATTTTTCATCTTGAAATTTTTAAAGTAATTATTTCATCGAGCAAACAGATATTTGTGTCATGTTTTGTGTGGAGAATCCTTGTCAGGAGATGAACCTACCACATCCTCGAGAGCTGCCGCTGCTCGTCCACGACCACTTATTCGGTGGGCTAAGCTCACCTTATTCACGGTTACCCATGAGCTGAGTGCGTTTACCCTATCCCTGACTTGGGGAGTCGCGCTCGGTAACATACAGTTCTGCTTTCCCGAGACATGGGAGCATGAAGAAGAAATGAAAAGCATTCCCAGTGTAAGGCCAAATTTTTCAGTGTTGGTATCTCCAATATAGTTTGGTTTTATATATAAATACATACATTCTTCACGCCGTCCTATGAAACAGAGTACTTATTGGTTAGGTGTTTTTTTAAATTTATGGATTGACTGACAGAGCGATGCATAACTTAGAGCAACATGTAATACTGACTCTCTATCCAATTATCTTATTACAGTAGTGAGCTGCGCGATTTAGAATCTAAATTGCGGGAGGCCTACGTGGCTAAGACCCAGTTGGCTCAAATTGCTGAGAAGCGTGCGTTGATCTACGATCAAATGGTGAGTGGCAGAATAATCATTTTATTTTCAAAAGGAGCAGTTACTTGTCTATCCGTTAGTTTGCCATTTAAATTTTCATCATTACACATGAGTTTGTCACAGTAATTTCATTTTGCAAGTAATTTATCTCAGATGCTATTGCGTTTTTGTTGTTGCTTCCTGCTTGAACACCAGGTGGAAGAGGCACAGGCTACACGTGCGTTGTTCGAATCCATGGGCGATGAGAAAACTATGCTGGCCGAGGAAGAGCACAGACGTCGTGTGGAGCAAGAAAGATTGCGTAATCAGTTGGAAGAACAATTGCGGGATCAGGAGAAAGCCCGAAAACAAGCTTACGAAGAGTTTCTTCGTGATAAACGAATGATTGATGACGCGGTGAAGCGTATTCAAGACGAGGATAAGTGGTAAGCCAATAGAGACATCAGCAATGTTAATAGTTTGTGATTACGGTTGGATCAATCAGCGTATTCTGTACGAGAAAATTCTTTTGATTGTACCCATTGACAAATCGGGGTGGATACTGTTTGAAAACTATCGATCGTTTGTTTGGTTCTGTAGTGTGCTTTGTACCCACATGAATGCCTGTCAGAGCCCAGCCCGAGATACCGCGTTTTCAGGAGTTATGAGGTCATATAGATTTCTTTTTCGTTTTTACTTCCTCTTACTGCATACACAATGATACAATTTTCAGGAAGGGCTTAGCGGCCAATCAAAGGGACACCATATAACATACAATGGGGGAAAGTTGGGCGGTGCTGGTGGTTGTGATGGTGCAATTTGAACAAGTCCTCCGGGGTGATAATTTAGTGACGCTACCACAGGGCGACCACTGCCATGATGGCTTGTTTCATTCAATTCACCAAGATGTTGATGGCAATAATTGTTATGTTTTTGGATCTGTGGAATTATAATGGATTCAAATCAAGTCAAGAAATGGCTTTAATTTGCCCCATAGATTATATGCTAAGTGATTTAAAACAAGGAAAATGTAGTCTGTTAATTTGGTTCATTGGAGATCGTCATCTTGTCGTGCGGTTCACGCGGTCTGGGGACCGAATACGCTTTACGGCTCATTTGAGCCAAGTCAGCTTATACGCTTCTTCTTCTTCTTGAGGCGGTATGGATGGCTGAACTAAACGTTTTGTACTTCCCTCAAATGATCTAGCTTTCTGGGGCTCAGTAATAACCCAACTATGAGATACGGTACTAACCGCATTTTAAAGACTCATGCGCCAAATTACACACCCTATTAACAAGGACTACATTATCCTTATGGCAAGCCAAATAGATGAGTAAATGTCAAAGAACTACATGAAATGGAGTACAACTAACCTGGATAATTCAACAAAACTCCACGGGGTAATAATAGTTTGTTGTATTTGTGGAATCGTGATGGTGTAACTTAAGAATTATAGAAATAGTTAGTGCAAAGTAGCACAATATAACACTAAGGATGATTCGGATGAGCGGATTTGTTTTGCTTGAGCTCAAAAGAGTCACACAGTTCAGTTCAGTTTGAACAACCATTAATCATGCACTATCGTGCGCTGGTTTTGGTTGCTAGCTTTTGGCGACCCATTTGGATGAACATTAGGAGGAAGACAGAACCGGTTGAAAGTAGGATCGAAGAGAAGATTGAAAAGTTCAGTGGATTAATGATNATTAATGATACAGAGAAATTGAGAAGATGCACGAACACCACTGTTTACGACACCCAGTCATATCACTCAGTGTCTCTAACCATCGGGTACAATCATCCTGAGGTCCCAATCCAGGGAGCCTAACGGGACCTGTGTGACCTAGACTCCTGGTTAGGGTTTTCATACCCTCATGGCAGGTCACACAGACCTTCCATTGTTTGGAGTTATTGTCTGACTGCATGGCTAGGTGACGCACGGATGACGTTCTCAGTATGTTTCCAGATGTTTCATACAGATACTGACAAACTGCACACCTTTTCTTTATTGTGCTGCTCTTGTATGATTGACTAAATCCTTTGAAGTAATAACCTGACTTGGTTCTCATCGTCTGATATCCTGGACAACTGCTGGTTGCATGTTATGTTGTAGCTAGTATCTCACTTGTTTCAATTCAAATTGAATATTATCTAGGAGTCTCGTTGCAGGCTCGTCATTGTCCCTCCCCCGCTCCTCCCCATACTTTACTCTCTAACGATATTGCGGTCTGAGAAGCGGAAACGATAAATAATCCGTACATTTCTGTTCTACAAGTTACTGGAACATACGTGAACAGTTCATTAAAATTCTTGTCGCATTATCTCATTTGTTTTCTTCTGTGATTGAGACAGTATGCGTATGTTTCTGTGCTCGGGCGTTTACTGGACAGAGAGTTAATTCACCTAATCTCCACTGTTCCATGCCCCAACGCGTCTCATTATGAGGTTCTTACATTTTCGTCAGTTTGTACAATATTCTGATAATGAGATCAAACAATTTGGTGCAAACCTTTCTATAGTTCGTTCAACAGTAACCACCACCACCAAAGATAGTACGCAGTATGCCATTGGTAAAAACTAAACATTGTTGAAACGAAACGAGAGTTATCAGTCAACGTCTCACAGAATCGATTAAAGTCGTATCACTGGCACCGTTTTCCTCAATCAGGGTATTACTATCCGCATTCCTATCCGAGGGCAGAATTATGAATAGAACTACCGTTACCAGTGAGATAAAAATACGTTTATCATCTCACTGCTTTTAAAAATCATGACTGGCCTAGTCCCTTTGGTTTTAGAAGTATCACGGACTGATTATTTTTCTTTGTGTCTCGACATGGAAGTGCACATCCATGAGAGGTCCCAATAGGGACGAAACATTTGTCCTGTGCTCACTACCGCCCGGGGACATAAAATTTCAATTACACACACGTTACTACTGGTTAGTAGGGAAACACGAAAAAGAAAAGACATATTCATAACATACGGATTTGAAAAAGGGGCAGTAGCATAGGATGGCCATAGGATAGAAACATGATGGCCAAAGTAATAAAAAACGCCGCTTCTTCAGGAACACGAACAATAATGGCATGTTTGAATTGTGTCATGGTCTCAGCAGTTCCGCATTTGCTCAGCCGCAATTGAAAATATTCGAATGACTCTGATCTTTATCGTGGGAACTCAATTTTTATCACATTCAGAATGTGGCGTGTCATTTAGGGTAAACACTATTTTCTGAATATGTTGACTTATCATACTAACATTATTGCTAATGCTGACTTCCACCATGACGAAGATGACTCTGATAATGAAATGAATGAGAATAATGAGTGGAATGATAATTAATAATATTAATATTATTATTAATAATATTAATAATATTACCATTAGTATTACTTGGATGATGGTTAAGATGATACGACGATAATGACGATGGGAACATCACATTTGCACTTGTACACTTTATAATCATTGCGCACTATTTATTCTCTACGTGGATAATCTTCAAACATTTGCCCCTGTCATTTTAGTGAGATGGAACGTCACATGGCACGGAAAGAAATGACCAAACAAATGATTGCGCAACATCAGGCCGAACAGCAAGCTCACAGACAGGCAGAATTGGAAAAATTACGCGAGGAAGAAAAAGTTATGCAAGAGTATCAATTACGGAAAGATGCGGAACTACAAGCGGTGGCTGAGGAAAAGAAAACACGCCAAGCAGCCATCGACAGGCTCCAGGTAAGACTCTTTTCCCACTTCAGTAACATTCAAGCAAACATTGCTGAGCATCCCGATCTCGTCACATTTTCGGGGCATTTATTTTGACCAAAGAAGCATAAACTCGTGATAACATAAAATAGTTCCATCTGAAAGCTACATTTGATTAGTTGGTGAAGTGCTTGAGTGTTTTCGCCCGAAAGAATGTCACAAAAAACATGCACGAATCAAAATGAACCAACGCAGTTAACTATTGTGAACGTTACATTACTGATGATTTTCTGGTGTCGCCACTGTTTAATCAGTCTTGTTGAAAAGTGATGTACCTCACTTTATCGAGGTATCTTGATTGGCGGGCACAAACTTAACTGCATCAGTTTAGGTGTAGTAGTTTTGAGCTGGTTCGGGGGATCACAGGCACTGGTTTACACAAGAGATAATTTTTCGGGAATTTCTGGTCTTCAACCTGCCCACAAATGTACAATCCAGCACTTACTAGTTTTATGCAAAACATTTTGTTAGGGAAATTTCAGCTGAGTTTGTACAGGGCGAATATGATCTTTGCTAATAGTGCCCAGTTTTGTTGTGTTGTCGGTGGGTGGTTGTGGCTTCCAAAATTGCGTATAAATTTACTCCTTGCGATTTTCTTAATCTAGTCCAGATTTCGGGGTGTTAAAGCCTTCGTTGAAAGAGGAGAACCAAAGAAAGATGTCTTTTTTCTTCATCGATGAGAGACCTTAAGTTTTGAAAACCTTTTGATGTAAAGATCACACGCTGTAATGCATTCAGTTTTGAGAATTGTTATAAAAACCAAAACCCGAGTTTATATCCCTTTAGAACTTTCAAGTAACGATGGACTCCGCTCACGGTGTCCTCGATCTAAATATTAATCTACAGGAACATAGTCGACCAATATACATCCAGTGTCACCTTGAAAGTGTTAATATTGGTGTACTTGACTACTCCCGCGTTTGAGTTGTTTCACATAGATATGACTAATTGGAGATGAAGTTATAATGGACCTCCAACCTGGAGTGATTTTTTGGAGGCATTTAGCCAAAAGTCTCTGTCAGATCTCTCTTCACTCGACTACGTTCCAGCGAGAAAAGATTAAGGTTTTGTAACCGCTGCTCATACCTGTTTTCCTGTTGTCCGTATTCCATTCGAGCAGCTGGACGTTGCACCATTTCTAAACATAGTACATACCTCCTGTAATAGCTTGCCGTTAGCTGCACATAACAGTGTATGCGGGCGAACAGTTGCTTTGTACAAATAATAGAGATTTCAGGCCTTTTGCATGTGACTGTAGCACATAACTAGAACAGCTGCCTTATAGCCTGATTGGTATTTTTTGAGCGCTGCGTGATGGGTTTAAAGTTCTGGGTCATAAGGACCTCTAGATCTTTCATCTGCGAGACCTACTGCTTTGGTGTTCCATTCAGCAAGTATGAACTAGATCTCTGTGCCCCAAACTGGTCCCACTGAACCGACCACCGACGGACCACCTCTAGATCTCTTTGTTGATTTAATCCTGTCATTTTGACATTATCAGCGACTATCAAACACGAACCTGAGGATCGTTTGCCAGATCTTTAATTCAAATGAGGAATAGCAAAGGGCATAAAAATATACCTTGGGGAAACCTGCTTGTCCATTTCGAGGTCAACCACCTTGAGAACTATTATCCAATCCCTTGCCTTACTTATCACAATGAGGCTCTAAATTTTTGAAGTTCAACAACCGATAGCTGTCCGAGTTCAATGTTTCACAAATGTCTAAATACAAGCTTCTACATTTTTCTCTTCATTCGTACCTTGCATGAGTTCTTCTAGAAAAACAAGAAGGCTTTTGGGCATGATTTCCTCTTCAAAATAAAACCGTGTCACACCGGTGACGAGAGGCGATTGTTAGTCAGGAGTAAGCAAATCAGCTTTCTGATCAATTGCTCCAGACACTAACACAGTACCAACGTTAGGTTTACGAATCTGTAGTTTTCTGCTCCGTATTTCGGTCCGGATTTGTACAGTACCAAGCACTACTGTTGCTGTACTCTATTCCTTGGGTAACGAAGAATTCTGCACTGATTCTCTACAATGTACAAGCTGGGATCCATACAAACAGTCGCACTGCTATGGCCGGATGAATTTCTTCAGGACCTGTAGACTTATGCTTGTTGAGTTCCCTGAGTCCTCGATGTACATCTGCTTCATGAATAATAACCTCGGTGAGCTCTGGTTTATCGGCTAGTCTTTCTAACCCCGGATTATCTAGGTTAGTCCGTGTTCCATACAAGCTTTTGAAGAAAGAAAGTAGTGTCTCTGTCTCATCAACAGTCCATCGGGCAAAGCCAACCCAATAGTCTTGATGATCTACCATTTATTAACTGAATACAGCAACTTACACAATATACATTTTTGGGAGTGTAGTGTCTATGAACGAGACGTCGTAATGGGTCAGATGGTAGCGAAGCTTCTCATCCTCAAAATTCGATGGTGTTTGTGTAACGGTTTGAATCATGAAATAAAGGTCATCTACATAAATTTTGTATGAAAACATTAAATATTCCATTTCGCCTGTTCGCCTAGCTTGGCAATTTGTTTGCAAACGTTTCATCACCAGCCGAGATGACATCAGCAGCGCTTGTGAAGTGGAAGTCTTCTGCTTGTATCCGTTCGTTTATATATGTGTTCTTCTCCATCGACCATTTTTGTCCCTTTTTCTCATTGTAATTGACTCGGTTCTCCGTTAAACTGGTGTGTGGGGGTGAGGTTGGTGGAGGAGATGGTTGTCC